AATATCTTTCAATGTTGTTTCTCTTTGCAGGTTCGAAAATAATTATAATAATTGTAAGTGTAGAAATAAGTTAATAAAATAATAATAATAAAAAACTCTTTGCAGAGCAACAACTTGGTTCTTTGTTTCATTACAAAACACATTACATATAATAACACACTTTAAATCCGAGAACGATCTTATATTCTTCAATTATACCTACATATAAGTAAATAAGATAGGAAGGATAACTGTGCAGTTTAACAACAATTAAAGAGGCGATTTCGTCTATAATAGCAATAATTTAGTTATTGTATTGAACACCGGCAAGTCACGGATGAGGAGACAGGCGCCTTATCAATGCGCTTAAGTAACAGAATGCCGAAGGATTTCGTAATACATTCAATCGTTATTGCGACACGTAATGTAGGCCTTTTAGTGTTTGCATAATACTTGAATTATCGTAAACAAGTACGACCTTTGTTCTTTTCGCTGGAAGGTTCTTGTAACAGATTAAATAATGAAAGTCTTTAACGATACAGGAATTGCGTTCGGAAAGACGGAGACGTATTAAAGTATATGTGAATATTGGATAGTGTCTAGACGGTCTAGAAATACCTTGACAAGACGCGTTAACTTTACCTTTCAAGCTCTATATCGTAACATATGCAGCGGTAAATCGGACATTTTTAGAGACCCAAACGTTATATGCAAATCCGAATGATGCATTTATGAACTAAAATGTTCATAATGCTTTATCATCGAGGTATTTTCGAACCGCGTTGTAAAGTTTAAAATAGATTTTTAAATATCCACGATTTACTTCCACGGTGAAGGAATAACATCGTGTAATAAAAATCAAACCCGCAAAAATTCTAATTTGCGTAATCACTGGTGGTAGGGCCGCTTAGGAGTCCGCACGCGTAGGTACCACCACCCCGCCTATTTCTGCCGTGAAGCAGTAATGCGTTTCGGTTTGAAGGGTGGGGCAGCCGTTGTAACTATACTGAGACCTTAGAACTTATATCTCAAGGTGTGTGGCGCATTTACGCTGTAGATGTCTATGGGCTCCACTAACCACTTAGCACCAGGTGGGCTGTGAGCTCGTCCACCCATCTAAGCAATAACAAGATTTAAAAAAACACGTGATCACACTTGAAGTTACGTTCATGACATTCCAAAGAAACAGGAAAACCTAAAATTTTGTGTACATTTTCTTGTTCCAGCCGTGCTACGGATTGATGTTAGATAACAAATTTTATTAAATTTGATAAGATAAGTATTGATTACCTGGAAATTCGAAGCCTAATCAAATTTTAAACACAAAACAATAATAATATATGTAAATGAAGCTCTCTTGGCCCTTCATTAATTACATTTAAATTTCCCGCGCATTAGCTTCCACCACTATCATAATAATATTATCTGTGGTGGAAGCTATGTTCATTCCATAATTGGATTTGCTCTCTGGCTTCGGACATTCAAAAATATAACGTGCTTTCTTAATAGATTAAAAAAACTTGCAGATTTAAAAAAGGGTGAAGCAATATCTTTCCATGTTGTTTCTCTTTGCAGGTTCGAAAATAATTATAATAATTGTAAGTGTAGAAATAAGTTAATAAAATAATAATAATAAAAAACTCTTTGCAGAGCAACAACTTGGTTCTTTGTTTCATTACAAAACACATTACATATAATAACACACTTTAAATCCGAGAACGATCTAATATTCTTCAATTATACCTACATATAAATAAGATAGGAAGGATAACTGTGCAGTTTAACAACAATTAAAGAGGCGATTTCGTCTATAATAGCAATAATTTAGTTATTGTATTGAACACCGGCAAGTCACGGATGAGGAGACAGGCGCCTTATCAATGCGCTTAAGTAACAGAATGCCGAAGGATTTCGTAATACATTCAATCGTTATTGCGACACGTAATGTAGGCCTTTTAGTGTTTGCATAATACTTGAATTATCGTAAACAAGTACGACCTTTGTTCTTTTCGCTGGAAGGTTCTTGTAACAGATTAAATAATGAAAGTCTTTAACGATACAGGAATTGCGTTCGGAAAGACGGAGACGTATTAAAGTATATGTGAATATTGGATAGTGTCTAGACGGTCTAGAAATACCTTGACAAGACGCGTTAACTTTACCTTTCAAGCTCTATATCGTAACATATGCAGCGGTAAATCGGACATTTTTAGAGACCCAAACGTTATATGCAAATCCGAATGATGCATTTATGAACTAAAATGTTCATAATGCTTTATCATCGAGGTATTTTCGAACCGCGTTGTAAAGTTTAAAATAGATTTTTAAATATCCACGATTTACTTCCACGGTGAAGGAATAACATCGTGTAATAAAAATCAAACCCGCAAAAATTCTAATTTGCGTAATCACTGGTGGTAGGGCCGCTTAGGAGTCCGCACGCGTAGGTACCACCACCCCGCCTATTTCCGCCGTGAAGCAGTAATGCGTTTCGGTTCGAAGGGTGGGGTAGCCGTTGTAACTATACTGAGACCTTAGAACTTATATCCCGAGGTGGGTGGCGCAGTTACGTTGTAGATGTCTATGGGCTCCAGTAACCACTGAACACCAGGTGGGTTGTGAGCTCGTCCAACTATCTAAGCAATAACAAAAAAAATATACGAATTCCGCGTTTCCCCTCATTAGATATGCTTTATGTTCTTCGACGTCGAACACGCAGGGCATCCGACGTGATTGCAGTGAAGCGAAGGTCACTGCCAAGGCCACGGGAAACCGAAGCGCTCATGCGACAAACAATCAATCGGCTAGCGAAACCTTTGCGGTTTAATACTTTAATTTATTATTCCGTCAATGATTTATTCGTTGTGTTGCTGAATAATAATGACATACCGTGTGTGTCGATCGTCATTGCGGAAAACGAAAGGAATCGTTTATTATTTTGTGATCGCCCTAGCGATCGACGAAGATGTATCATAAAAATCGATCGACTGGGACTAATGGTTCGTGACCTCGACTAGTATTATACAGTATTCCCGGTTTCTTAAGAGTACATTTAGGACAGATTCCTACATCTTTAGGCTTTGATTCAAAAACATCGCATGACGACAAACCATGGGAACGGTGTTCAACAAAAACGAAATATTACTATTTTTGGCGTAAGTCTTCTTAATTATATTTAGGAAACAGCTACAAATCAGACGAATTAATTAAAACCTTTAAATATACAAACGCAGCAAAATAATGAAGTCATCAATATTGCGTTATTCTAGTTTTGTAATTTTAGGATATTATATTTTTAATTTTCAATTCACTAATTTATGGATGATTGCCTAACTTTTTGTAATTTATGGAGGCAATAATCATAGCTCTTCCGACCAGAATGCATGACTGCTTCGCGATATACTATCAGCGCGGAGGCGCGAACTAGGTAGCAACCTTAGGTGTAAATAGTGTGAATGGATGATATACACCCATGTATACTAATATCTTGTGGGAGCCTGGGGGAAATTGCTGAAAAATCTGTCACTATGTAAGAATCACTGACAATATTTGTATCATATAATTAAGTAAATTTATATAGAAAGGGAGTCTGGATACTTTTGTGCTAAATTACTAAATACATAAAAAGCAAAAAAAATTTTTTTTCATATTTTTAGATTAGAATTAGTCTCATAATTACATAAAGCTACAAATTAAGTAAGTACAATAGAGTGCATTCTATTGCTTGGAGTAAGTAATTTATTTACTACATGGGTCTGCAATCCTTAAGAACTTTAAAAAATATATAGTTGAGAAGTGAATGTACATAATATTTTTATGCAATTCTAATATATTCGCATACATAATTGATTTATTAACAGAAAAGTATAGTTATAGAATTTTATAATAATCTACAACTGTGGACAAAAATTCTTAACGAATAATAAAAAAGGCAAATTTATTAGATAATCTTAATTTTAAACTCATTATATGTTAAAAGTCAATTTTTCATTACATTGAATGCAAAAGAAAAATTTTAATCAAAGCTCAAAGAATACACCAAAAATCATTTTGAAATATTGTGAATCTTAGGATTAAAGACAAGTCTGTTTACAACTTTATTCTAAATGAAGATCATTTCCAGACTCTTTAGCATTTATACAAAGAATAGTTTCAAATGTGTTTTGATATTACTTGTGTTTTTAAAGATGTATTCAAATCATCATAATGTAGATTTGCTAAACAAATAACTCCACGTTACCACTATAGATAACATTCTTTCTAAATTCAAAATAACTACTAATACTATAAATGTATTTTTTTAAATACTTTGTTTACAGAAGAAAAAGTTTAAAATATATTTATTTACAAAACGTTAAAATGTTATGGTAGCCAGTTCTTAGGATAATTTTTAATTCTTGTAAAATGACTGAATTTCTATTTGAACATAAACATTATCAACACATTTTTACTACATTACTCATAGTTATGAAAACAATTCTTGGATATTGTTTTTAGCAGACTTGTAATTTTTATTTATTTATAACTTGCAAGTGTGTGGTCTCAATAATAATTCAATGATGTGGTACTATCGAGCTGCTCTGATGATGGGAGTTAGAAGAGGGCATGCCCTAACGAAACCCTTAAATAATACTAGTCAGTGCAGTTTTTGTTCTATAATTTTTTCAGTCAGTATCATATCTGTTTATATACTACCATCTAAGAATTATTACAAGATGCTGACAAACTTTTGATAGTATAAATTGTGTTATGTGAAATATGAATTTGTCTTTACAACACACTATTTGTTAATTATACTTGTTGTCTGAGTGATTAATTTATTGTAACAAATTCTTTGTGCCTAGTTTAGTAAGAAATTAGGATTGTTCAATTTGAAATAAAATTTGTAATTTAACAAATAAGTATATCAGATAACAAGATAAAGGAATATGATCTAATAGATTTGTTGAAAAGTGTTTTGATCTTAGAATAAAAATTGCCACAATTTTTATGATACATAGTTAGTACAAAGCGATACTCACTTTGAAAACTTCAGAGAAGAATCCAGTGCCGATTTTCTCCAGCACGAAGTCATCAAACGGGTACAGAGCTGCCACAGCCGTTCTCAGAGCTGTGCAAGAGGAGCCGGTCACTCTGCGGTCACCGAGTCTTTCACCATCTTCACTCACACCTGACTCCTTATCACACTCATCATCACAGCACACTACACCGCGTTTAGTCCTCTCCTGTCCGTCGCGATACCTACGCCCTATCTTCGAGTGCGGACCTCTTACAAATCGACCAGCCTTCGCAGTCTCATCCAAGTTCGTGAAGCTCTCTGCTATCTTTAGCACTTTGGTCGGCTTCCGCCTCTCGAACTTACTCCTAAATCCTTCTGTACACTCGCGTTGCATTATCACTGATGCTACGTTCACCCCGCTTCAAACATCATATTAATCAGGTGTCTACCACGATACGCGAAAAGTACTCTGCGTGCAGCATTTTTCAAGTCCACTACACTTACGAACGGACGGTACTTGTAAATATGCGAAATAACATTATATTCACACAAAAAAAGACGTTGACTGTCACTTTCACAATAGATTTAGGTTTATTGGCACGGTATGAGACTTAAGTTTATTGATAACGTAAAACCGGTTTTGTGGCTTTAATTTCTATCTTATGCGGTAAAATATTTTTTAGTTAAGTGGACCGAATGTCTATCGACGCGCGTTCAAGCAAAGTAAAGAAAGCGGAAAGCAAGCAAGCCAAGCAACATCAACACATGACATAGTATTTGGGAATGTTGGTAGCGCTGGCGCATTCACCGTTTCATAATGTTGACAGCTCTGAGTTTTGGACGCGTTCAGTTTACATCAATGAATAGAAAAATTATTTAGACAGCAGGGTTGTCGTTACTCGTTACCATATTGATACCTATTGTTGCATTATTAATAAATAATAATTAGATGCATTTTATATCGAACGACTTTTTTTAAATGTATTTAAAAATACTCGTACACTTCAAATTATATTGAAACAACTATTTCGGCATAAGTGAATATTACGAAATGTATTATCGATGAGTTCCTTGTGATAGGGATGAACTCTACTCCAAAATTTTGCTGAACCGCGAGGAATGATGCTATGTGAAAAAATAATTTTAGTGAAACTGTTTATCTTATGAAAAAAGAGACAAAATCCCTTGAAATTTCATGTTAAAATGGATATACCATTGTAGATTTATTATCAGTTAGGGTTGATGTCAGGCTGGCGGTTGGTTGTAAAACTCACGCCAAATCCATATATAGCATGATAAGAGAACGTACCGCGCCGACCCCACACAATTTGGGGGAAGGATAAGAAGGAGAAGAAGATACTTATTTGGGCCTACCTTTTTTAGTTTTCCCGAGCGCTTTTAATACTTATTTTAGAAATCAGACGTGAGGAGTACTGAGGAGCTAATTGTGATTCTTTTGGTGATGTTGCTTATCTCATCTTACTATTCGAGAGGCTGAACAACTTTTTGCGCGAAACATCGGCCCTTGGGGATATTTTGTTTCATTTCTCTAAGCTTCGACCTCCAAACGGCAAGAGTTTCGTTTTATACTGAAGAATTAGCTGTTCTTTTATTCTTCTTGGTCCAGATACTCGTTACCTAAATATTTATCTTTCTCTTTGGATACAATGGCATTCACTAGTATCTGACCAGTATTCTAAAGTTCTTCCATTCAAAATTGGTTAGCATATCATCTGCCAAATACGTAATCTCTCTCGATTACTATCTGGTGTCCGTCGGGAAGGTATGGTATAGTACTTTGTTTTGCCGCCATTTTGGTAAACATTAGTCTTGACCATAGAATAAACACTTAATATATTTGAGAGTCTTGACACTTGACAGTTCATATTTGGCAGTATTAAAATCAATGAAGTAGGAAACCTATGGAAATGAAACGTCAACCAAAATTTCGTGCCACTGTGACGTCATCTGGCCACAAAACATGGCGGCTTTAGTGCTGTACAAAAGATTTCAATGTTATCAGGTTTTATCGATAAACGTTCTTGGCTCATTTTATTTTAAATATTGTTGAGTATTATTTATTTGTAGAATTTATACTTTAATGGGAAGTAAGTAGGTATATTGTTATGTGCAAATATGATATGATTTAGATGGGTGAAATCTAAGACAAGTTCGTCCTTCGAATTTGCCAAGTAAACGATATGATGATTTTTAAAAGTTGCTACACTGATTTTATAAAGTTGTCGTTTGTCGCAAAACATAAAGATATGGCGTAGTTCAAAGCCATCAGCCCATTTCTAGCATGCTAAATGTTATCGTATTTTGAGTACGTGTTTTTCTTAGACTATTACAATCTATTTTAATTGTTTTGCTGACTCTAAAGTCCGTAACATACTACCGCAGCGCACCCCAAGGAAGGTGCGCCGCACCATTTGAATCACTTTCGCTTGAGAGTGATTCAAATTTTAAACTTATCAAGGGACCGCGTGAAAAAAAAAACACCTACAGAACATTTATTCATTAATTACAAACGTCATTCCTTGTGACTTCCTCTCTAAAATCACTTAATTATTAAATATTTAACAAATTTACAATAGTGTTTTACTCACTGCGGAATAAAACTATTTTATTTAAATAGTTCCGAAGAGATTTTGTCGGTAGCCTTTTTCCCGAAATATCTAAACAGAATGTCTAAATATGTTTTGATGACATATTTTAAAGTGGTATTTATGATTAGTGTCATGATCAATAGATTCCGACCGAAAAATGGATTTTTTGGATGAGGGCTCCATAATGAATTTAAATACATATAGATAATAGTTTTAGGACATCGACTTTCTTGAGATCCTATAAAATACGTTTTAATTATTATTTTTGTATGTTTTAAGCATGATAAATTATGAAATTTTATATAATCAATCATATTAAATCGATATCAAAGTCAATAAATAATGTACAACCCAAAACAGACGGCCGAACTGAGGTGACAATGACATTTGGCGCGCTAAACATGTCGGATTTTCGGCCTCATTAGACGGAGACGGAGATATTTACGTATATTCATGTTTCATTTTATGTACGCACTGAAATACTGTTATATTGTTTTCCTGCGAGTTAAAGTGCTAAGTAAGAACGAGATAGATATATGTTTATGTGTGTGCCTTCAAAATGGGTGCTATTTATTTAAGCAATTGTACGTATAGAACAATATGTCGTGTCCCTACTATATATGTCTATGATTAAAATAAAATGAAAACCAACGTCTTTTAGGTAGGTAGGTAATCGTTTAGCTAATCGTCGAAAAAATCATAATGAGTGACGAGGCACATTTTCAGTTGAATGGATATGTGAATAAACAGAATAGTCGGTTCTGGGCAATGGAAGACCCTGAAATTATTCATCGGTCACCTTTGCATCTATTAAAAGAGAGTCTGGTGTGCAATTTGGTCAGGAGGAATCATTGGACCTTACTTCTTTGAAAATGAAAACGGCGTAACGGTAACTGAAAGGGGAGCGATATCGTGATATGATTAGGATAGTAGGTATGTACATAATTCAATTCATCACAATTCATTATGCCGAAGGATAAAAAATAAAAGAAGACAGTATGAAGTTCGCTGTTTATTTAAAATCATGCTGACGTTCTATATTCTTAATTCAATGTTTCATTCTATATCACACATCGGAAAACAATTGATGTCCTCAAGTATAATAGCATAAAGTAAGTTTTGCTTTCAACTCGAGCTTGCTTCCCCAAAATTTATCTCTCTCACATTAAAAAACAACAAAATACTATATATCCATTATTCACAATCTACTATCTAATAAAATTTAACGCACAATAGCTATAAATACAAATATATTATTGCTGTCGCGATTCATTAGCCTATTCTTAATTAAATTTTACATTCGCCCCAAAATGAGTATTGGTTTTCTATTTTCCCTTTTTTAAATTTAACTTATCTAAATTTAAACTTATCTAATTTCGCCTATAGTAGTATTGCTTGCGTTGAGAAAACATTGCTTTCTCGTTTTTATTTATTTATTATTATTTCGTAACAAATACATTATACAAAAGTTATCGAAGAAATCCATTACATGGTGTATCTTCTAATAACATTTTGACCCCACTTAGTATGTCTAAACTTAAAATTAGAGGTACTTTTCAAATTATAGGTAAATTTAGATACTTCACAAAAAGAATAGGCATCAGTGAGCTTTAATTATATATTAGTTCTTTGAGATTTTAGTTTTAGTGAATAAAAGTAGTTAAGCCTATATTTTTTTCTGAAGCAAATTCTGAATTAATTCAATATCGATGGTCAAATTACTCCAAAGGATTTATAGACTTCAGTTGGAAAATACCAAATTGTGAAATCAGAATTATTAAAAAAAGAGAGGTTCATCCTCTATTTAGTATTTTTTTTAAACTAGTATGTAAAAAAAACTTTAAATGTTACAGTTCAAAAACATACTATATATTCATACATTGTACTATTTTTTTAGCATTATGTAAATAAAATGAAATACAAAGTTTTCAAAACAAAGTTTTTTTGCACACATTTAATTTATTGCTAGTCAGAAAACTTTTAGACAAAAAATAGTTCAGCTAATTCTTTAAATGTGCAAGTCATGAAATGATTGGGAATATGAAAATGAAACGTTTGCATAAACTACCATAGTTTCTAGTGTTAGTAATGAATTATTTTCATAAACAACAAAATCACTATTAAAATCAAATCAAATTACGCAATCTAGTTAGAATAGTTTTAAAATCTTAAATAAAAAAAGTTATTTTAAAATTCGGTTTTCGATTAAAATATTCAATTAGGTACTTCGTGTAGACCACAAAATCCATAAAGAATCCGATTTTTAGTTTTCTAAGACAGATACAATTTGTTTTAGTATGGATGGTCCATGGTGTTGCTAGATAAATAAAAAGTGAACGATACATTTCTGCTAGTGTTAGCTATATAAATTAGAGATTATTCTGTTATAATATTAAGAAAAACACTTGATTTCACAACCATATGCATTTTTGCAACTATAACAATTACTATCGATCAATGCTTATAACTAGTTATATTGTGCGTACAAAACATTACGCAACTCAGTTGAGTTTTTAAACAATAGTAAAATTAAAAATCACTGAGCATAATTTCATGGTTGTTAGTTTAAAGAACTATTTTAATTAAATGAGAAAATCCGTTTTAATTAAAAATAAAGTTATTAGTAAAAGTGCAATCTGATAACATGGCTTCTTCTAATGATCAAAAGCTATGTTACCTATACTAAATTTGTTTATTTTTTTATTAAATGAAAAACATTTTTAATATTAAATTAAGATCGAAGGATTGTGTGTAAATGTGGTATCATCAATACTTTATTTTTAATACAAATCAAATTAATAAAAATAGTAATAAAAAAAATTATATTTGAAGACTATGATGACATAAGAAATTTTCAACATCACTACACGTTTGTTCACACACGAAATGGAGCTGTGAGAAATTACGAAAGTTAATTTGATACTAGCATTTTGTAAATTCAGTCGGGACTTTTACACACCCACACGGGGTTAACACATTAAAAAACAACGGCATATAAAAAACTTAAGAGAAAGGGAGCGTCAACTTACGACAAGGCGAAAAAATATACGCTAATTTATTAAATAAAAAGAAAATCATAACTAAACTAACAAAAAAAAAAGGGCAATAACAATAACTGAGCAAAAATAAACACAAATTTTTGAATAGGAAAGAAAACTGTACGTTTCCTAAGCTTTGCTAGATTTCCATAGCTAAACCAGGTTAGGGTAGGTTAGGGGTTCAAAATGACTAAACGCGGTGTCTACGATCGAGAATCATCTTGGTATGATGTAAAGCACGATGAGTGGCAGGCATATTAGCAGGATCCCTGACGTCCTTGCTGTTTCCTGACTGTTTGTCTGATCTTGACACTCTCCTGAAACAAAAGGTTTATTAACAGAGTAGCAAATCACGTATGTAGTAATTCGGCAAGTAAGCGTAAGAATTTGGTTCTTATCTCGAATGCTATTGCAGGATTTATGCGGGCGGCGATTTGGAGATGAGAAGTAGAGGACAGGAGAGTGACAAAAAAAAGATTCCAAAGATCGTTGTCGGATATGTCTTATCTCTATCTCTTGGTCCAGTATCCTAAAATCTAAGATAAATAATGGGATAGGTACTACAAAAATAGTTTCTTAGTTATAACGGTCGGCTTAAATGGTTTATATTCGACTCCAGTCTGGTGTTCTCTGTTTAGCCTTGTTAAGAATATCGAAAACAAGAGAAGGAGAAAAGGAAAGTATAAGCAAACCGGAAATACTAAAGACTATCGGAACGTCGTGGTACAGAAGCCAGTCACTAATTATAAAATTATTTTTCCAGTGTAAGTGTGACTATGAAGTCAATTTTCACGATGGGAACAGTAAACTGTACTGGATAGCTGCTGTATACCTTTATTTTCGAAGTTTTCCTGGTCTAAGAGTAATAGTATTTAACCAAACTATGCAATCTATGCTAGTCGTCGTGGCCTAAAGGATAAGACGTCCGGTGCATTCGTGTTGAACGATGCACCGATGTTCGAATCTCAGGCGGGTACCAATTTTTATAATGAAATACGTACTCAACAAATGTTCATGATTGACTTCCACGGAGAAGGAATAACATCGTGTAATAAAAAAGCAAACCCGCAAAATTATAATTTGCGTAATTACTGGTGGTAGGACCTTTTGTGAGTCCGTGCGGGTAGGTACTACTACCCTGCCTATTTCTGCCGTGAAGCAGTAATGCGTTTCGGTTTGAAGGGCGGGGCAGCCGTTGTAACTATACTGAGACCTTAGAACTTATATCTCAAGGTGGCGCATTTACGTTGTAGACGTCTATTGGCTCCAGTAACCACTTAACACCAGGTGGGCTGTGAGCTTGTCCAACCATCTAAGCAATAAATAAAAAAAATCGAAAAATAATAGTGAAAAACGTAATAGGAACAAATGCGTTTGCAATGCAATGCAATTTTTGTCTACCCGCACTAGTCCGCCGTCGAGCGGGGAGGCCAGGGAGGCGGATCTCGCCCAAGCCCTGGCCCTCTAAGTGTTTCGGGTCCCCCTCATATGTCGGTCTGGGGACCGGCGAGGGGGACCGAACGGTAAGAAGACGTCGTGCAAGCTGCTCTGCACGCGTTTTACGCAAGAGCATCCGGGTGATGGAAGGCCGGCTATCCTCGACCCACGCTGGTTCTGACCCAGCGGGGTATTCCGTAGGATAGCTCACTCCAACCGGCGCCATCTAGGCGGGCTCCGGATAGCCTGCCGACCGAGAGGGCTGGTGGTCGTGGCGCCGACGACCGCCAGTCCGGCATCCCGAGGGGGAGGGTGATGGGAGAGATGTGCTCCGCACTAAACACTTCACTTTCCCCCTTTGCCTTTTCATGAGTTCTGTCTCATGTCAGGTTTGGACGTTGGTTGTTGAGCGACAGGAGGTTTTAGTCGGTTCGACTCCGACATGCTCCGCCCGCCCTCCCCAGTGGAGGGCGGAAGTCCGGCGATTTCCTCTTGACCAAAAAAAAAAAAACTAGTAATACCTAATAGGATTTGGGTGATCGAACAAAATATGGGCTGTCCTGCAACCTCGGTCGAAGAAGAATACGTTTTAGGGCTGCTTAGTATACACTGCAGAGGAAATAGAATTCCATTTTTTAATGCTATATTTCTTATTTAGTCGTACCGATAGCTGTTGCATCAAAGACGAGTTCAGGCTCAACGTTAGCTCGTTCGCAGTTGCTTGCCGAGCGGGTGAGGATCAGGGTCCCGCCCCGAGTCTCTCGGGACATGAAGCAGTAGCGTCTGGCCGCCGTGCTGTCCCGGGTCACCGGGGTGGTCACAACAAATGAAGCACCGTCTTCGTACCAGCCTCCGTGGCACGTGTAGGCTGAAATTGGAATATGTAATTGAATGAATGTATTTTGTATGTATGTGGGATTTTAAATTCGGGGTGGGCCAGTGAAACGCTCGATCACTTCACAAAAACTCGATGCTTTATTTCGTCTGAAGTAACTCCAACACAACGTCTTTCGTCTTCCGGGTTACACTGCGTTTGAGCGTCGTCGCGTCCGGAAACTACTCTCCTGTCGTTTATGAAATAAAACTCGGTGTCTCGCATTCATTCACCATCTTTCTTACTTCTTAACACGACATCACCTATCTCTCTCACTCAGCCATGCTCCATATCTGTCATTCATCCATATCGCTCCGCTCCGTTCCCACATGTATATTTATTTATGTATTTATTTTGGTAATTTAATTATAACCTAGTGTTTATTATCACTCATGTCTACTATAATTCTTGAAATTATCGCTATGCATTAACTTTATCACAGCTACGCACTTCTTGAATCTTTCACTTCATCAACGAGGGTTAACTGGAAGAGAATGCCTGAATGGCGTTAAGTTTGCCTTTGTACAATGCTTCTGTGCAATAAAAAAATTTCAATCAATTTCAATCAGTAAGTGGTATATTATATGGTGTATTTTCTATCTATGATTTGCGACTTGACACAATGATAGAATAACATTAGACTTACATGTATAATTAAAGATAAATCTACGGATTCATTTCGCTATTTTTACTGTCATTATATTATTTTCAAAAGTGGAAGGTATTCGAAAAGTCGGAATTAAAGCAAAAAAATAGTTTTAATTGTGTGTACGACTAGTCAAAATCCATGAGACACCAGACTTACATATTTATAGAAAGCATTTTATTACTATAAATAAATGGATATTTGTGATTTTGTGTATGTATGTTTATGGATATGTTTGTGGATGTAGAAACATGTTTATTCGATTAAGAGCCGTGTAAAATTGTTGTCGGCACTTCAGGGAAGATTAAAATTGTAACAATGTTTTTGATAATAGTTTATATTTTCACGCGTCTTCTATCCAAGCGTGTTGTAAAATTTGTACTGCCACTGTTTATAATTCCAGGAAATTATTGTTATAGTACCAAAAAGGAACAATGGCATGAGCAGCTATGCGCTAGTCACAGCAGGACCACATCTGGTTTTGCAAGCTAGCTACAAATATTTACCTACTTATGAATAAAATTTTGTAATAATAATGCTAAAATTCACCTGTAACGATTTCTTTGTTCCCGCAATTCGAATAAAACTCCATATTCTTCACCGAATTACAGCCAACTTCAAGTTTGTTGTAATTATTAAAAACGCAACTAGGTTCTGCGTTCTCCGCTTGCCTCCTGCTTCTCATTATACGAGCATTCGATACATTTCTTACGCTAAGATTGAACAATCTACTATCATTAACTCTACGATTATGTTCGAAAATAGTTTCCTCTCGTTTGCTCCTGCTACGATGCGAATATTCTTTTCTTTCTAAAGACCTTACGTTTCTTCGATGTCTGTTGTTTTGTATATTGTATTTTCCTGGGTAAGGACAGTCCTTAGATTCGGGATTGCTTGCTGTAATTCAATCGTAAATGACATTTAATCATCTTAAAGTTATTTTGTCAACGCTTATATTGTCACTGTTACTGGAACTATTGTGGAGACGAATTACTTATTATAAATTCTTTGCTTTCGTTTATATTTTGCAAACAGTATTAATCAGCTAATTATATTGACATGTGAACGGAGGAAAGTGTTTATCCCATGAACATGGCATGGCATTTCGGACGAATTTAAAACAAGGCTTTCTAGCGTTTACCTTAAGTAAATCCTATAGTTATTTGGCCACAATGCCAGGAAAGACGGACTCAATCTTGAAAAACTGCAGCAGTAATCACCAAAGTGGAAAGAAAGGGATCGTGAGGGCGCAGCTCAATTAGTTGGTCTGACCAGATTTTTTTTATTGCTTAGGTGGGTGGACGAGCTCACGGCCCACCTGCTGTTAGGCGGTTACCGGAGCCTATGGACATCTACAACGTAAATGCCACCACCTAGATTGAGATATAACTTCTAAGGTCTCAGTATAGTTACAACATTATTACTGCTTTACGGCAGATATAGGCGGGGTACCTACCCGTGCGGACTCATAAGAGGTCTTACCACCAGCAATTACGCAAATTATAATTTTGCGGGTTTCATTTTTACTACACGATGTTGTTCTTTCACCGTGAAAGTCAATCGTGAACATTTGTTAAATACGTATTTCATTAGAAAAATTGCTAGTTACCCGCCTGGGGAATTCGTACACCGTTGCATCGCTAGATACGAATGCACCGGACGTCTTATCCTTTAGGCCACGACGACTTCAAGATCCGTACTAGTAGCCGACGGTAGGATGAAATGGCACGGCATCATTAGGAAAGTTATGAGTGGAGGTTGACACGATCCTCGGAAATAAGGAGCACGAATGGAGGAGAGGGATTTCAAAGGAACACAGACCGTAATATACTTACCAACCAAAGTTATGTAAGGCGCCGTGACGGCGTTGAAGTGATGTGGGGAGCACGCATCATCAGGCTTGGAAGTCGGAACTCCGCGTTGCAATTCAGCTATGTATGTGTCTCTTCGGTATAATACAACACAAACGTACCGAGATGCACTGTAAAATAATGATTAGCATTCTCCAACAGTTCGCTAAGATGTTCGCTTTTCGAAGAACTTTTGTTGCAAAGGTGGGTGAAAGACGGTATAATAGACGTGACTTGTTGTGAAGCAGTTATTAGATCCAGTAGATTTTAATCAAATTGAATGAAAAACGGGGACCTGGTGGTAGGACCTCTTGTGGGTCCGCGCGGGTAGGTACCACCACCCTGCCTATTTCTGTCGTGAAGCAGTAATGCGTTTCGGTTTGAAGGGTGGGGCAGCCGTTGTAACTATACTTGAGACCTTAGAACTTATATCTCAAAGTGATTGGCGCATTTACGTTGTAGATGTCTATGGGCTCCAGTAAACACTTAAGAGCAGGTGGGCTGTGAACTCGTCCACCCATCTAAGTAATAATAAAAAAAATACAAATTGCAACAATTCAATATTTATGTTAAAATTTGTCTACATGTTTTTTTATTTATGTTAACCTATGAGTAATAATAACACTAAACGCACACAACATTAATATCTATAGGATTTTATCTGCAAAAAACGCGAAAACTTCTGAAAGCTTCATTTCTACGATATGTGAATTGCGCACATTTTATTGTAATATTTTCTTAATAATCGTAAGGAGCGCACCTGATAATGGGTTCGACTATCGATACATATGGGTTATCAGCAATGCTAAGGGTACAACTAAGGTGCTTATTACCGGAGATAAATTTTATTCTATACGACGGTGTACACATTGTGATGTATATGAGTTTCAGCAACCTAAAGCGGATCGTGAGTTAATCTCTCGAACAAAAAAGCCGAAGCAGTAGCAGTCGAAGTCGAAGTTTGCGGTGGGCAACGACTTGGCTCTGCCCCTGGCATTGCTGAAGTCCATGGGCGACGGTAACCACTCACCATCAGGTGAGCCGTATGCTCGTCTGCCTACAACGGCAATAAAAAAAAGCAGTCCGGATTCTTTGCAGAAAAAAAAGTGACATCTGACTTACCAATGATGTTGCCAATGCGCAACTAGCGCAACAGAATTCCCGCTGGGTGAACTGGCCTTTACGTTAACACAGTATACTTTGATATCGGCTCCCGTTTGGTTCGTGATCCGCAGTGTGGCGTTGCGTTGATAAAACGTGTAGTTGCTGGTGAAGTCTAGTGTGTGCCACGTGTGAGAGAACGTCATCCACGACGGAAATTGACAGTTGAAGCGAACTGACACTGGAATTAAAAAAAAAACTCAAGAGATTAATATCTGTATCAACAAGTCAAATACATATTTGAAGTTAGGTTTTGTATGGACTGAAAGATTATTATTTAATTTTTTTTGGTCTAATTCTGACCCATTTCGATTTATAGGGCAGGATTGTCTTTAGTCTAATGCTTGTCGCGATTCCGAACCGGTAGTAGATTCATTCGCGAAACACCTACTCTTGAGTTGTTAGGTTTCCCTTGGAGGCGCTCGGGTAGCTGTTAGCAAATCCCGTCCCTTCTGGCTGAGCCCTTGCTCGCTCATCTGTCCTTGTGAAACTGGAAAGGCCTCAGGGCCACCAGTAAACTCTCAATCATAAAAAAAGTCTAATGCAATCGAAATAATTAAAATTTTCATATTTAGTTTTAAATAAAATACCCCGTTTTAGTGCCATTGTTCTGGAGCCTTCAGTAGCGCTTGACAGGCCATTGCACGTCGCATCGCCCGATTGCGCAACCCTGTACTCGACGTCAGTATCCGAAAGTGGATCTTCTTTCAAGTTTCCACCTGAAGCTGTGCGAAAAAGAAGTACAATGGATGGAATTGATTGGATGGAGCAGCACGGGTATTACGTAATTACCGGTGGTAGGGCGTTTTATGATCCCACACAGGTAAGCACCTACCACCATCTTGCCGCGAAGATGTAATGCGCACCAGCTTGAAAGGTGACGGGCGGGTGACGGTATTCTTGTAGTGGTGTCTATGAGCTCATAGGTACCAACATAACACTAGGCGGGTCGTGAGCTTCTCCACTCGTCCAATCAACAAAAAAAAGACTCATAAAATAGGAATATTATACAGAAAATCGGAAGTTTTCAAACAAGTTTCCGCTGCGATTTGGCCCTGTTTTTTTTACAGGACCAGAACAAATAACAAAAAACTTGGATGTAATAGTAGAGAATTAAGTAAGCACAAACTGATACTAGTCTCGTTGAAGCATTATTATAATAATTATGTTGTGAATCACAAAACGTCAGTCAAATTATTTGCAAAAGTGCCTTTAAATTTGGCCAGATTTTAGTGAAATGCACAGGACCACGTGAATGTGCCTATAAAATGAATGAAATACGTTTACTGTAAAATATTTTCTTATTTAATTTATAAAATCTTCTTATCCTACAGAAAATACTACATCAATTATTATTCGCAGAGCCCAGTTTATAAATAGCGCAAAAAATAATACAATAAAAAAATGAAAACATCGTTACAATCTTACCAATACCGTTTGTTTTCTCATAGACGAAGCACCTATATCTATCTTCGTTGCTGGTCGCGTGGTTGTGGTGTAGCTTCCCTACGAGGTACCGCAAACTACCCTCCTTCCAAGTGGCTAAGCATTCGAGTTCTTCAACTGAAAATATTAATTTTTGGTTTAATCTTCCCCAAACGTTTATTTGCAGTGCATGCAATGAAATGCAAACTATGATCATATCTCATGGTAGGACCTCTATGGTAGGACCTCTTGTGAGTCCGCGCGGGTAGGTACCACCGCCCTGCCTATTTCTGCCGTGAAGCAGTAATGCGTTTCGGTTTGAAGGGTGGGGCAGTCGTAATTATACTGAGATTTTAGAATTTATATCTCAAGGTGGGTGGCGCGTTTACGTTTTAGATGTCCATGGGCTCCAGTAACCACTTAACTCCAGGTGGGCTGTAACCTCGTCCACCCATCTAAACAATAAATAAATAAATAAAACGCTGTTTAGCTTTAAGTTGCGATTTAGTGAAATATGAACTCACTAAAATGACTAGTATATACACTAAGCTTAGTAAATGAAAGTGTTATTTTCTGTTTACTTAGGGTAATTAAGCTGCTTTCAGACTACGCTATACTATAGTGCCATAATATAGTATAGCAGTCTAGACTTAGCCAATAATATATAGTACAATACAGTATGAACGTGCCATATCGTTGTGCTATGAGCGATATACTATATGCTATTATATTATAGCGTAGTCTGAAAACGGCTTTAGTAATTGTCGTTTTTGCCTCGAAAGCTCAGAGTTTGTATATTGTTGTATAAAACAGAGTTCTTGTTTTGTATCTTTATACTGAATTTAAATTTAATGCGCGGTAGATTCAACTGGGGATAAAGGTGTAGTCTGCTATTCCATGTCAGCTGTCAGTATAGATTCGTACAGTAGTCAGAATTAGGGCGGAGTTTAGACGATTTTGGGACAATCATTTGTCGAGAGAAGCCGCCACATTCGATCGTACCACGCGTACCTAGAGCTGATTTTTAATGCCTTAGTTGGGGCGTTAAGCAAAAAAAGGCATTCCGGTGTTTGCTTGCTACTCGCTATCTATGTAGCCAATCTGTAGCAGCACGCGAAAAGACGGAAAGAAATTCAGATTAACCGAGGGAAAGCAAACTGATTTTTCTTGGGTGTCGCAACGTATTTAACCAGATACCGAATAAAGTCAGCATTGTAAAGTTCATTTTTCGGATTGTCATTTCATAGTTTTATTGTGTTATTCTATTCACCAGTTTTTTTTATTTTTTATTGCTTAGATGTGTGGATAAGCTCACGGCCCACCTGGTGTTAAGTGGTTACTGTGGTTACTGGAGCCCGTAGACATCTACAACGTAAATGCGCCACAGACCTTGAGTTAAGTACGTATTTCATTAGAAAAATTGGTACCCGCCTGCGGGATTCGAACACCGGTGCATCGCTAGATACGAATGCACCGGATGTCTTACCCTTTAGGCCGCGACGACTTCATATTGTTAATCTTGTATAATCTATATTTCTCTTTTAAATAGTTTCAATACATACAAAGAAACTAACTTTAAAGAATCGAAAGAAACAAACCAAGCAATCTTTCGTCTAAATTGAACGAATTATTCACATTTTATTGAAGTCAGTCACAACGCTGAACAACTGAATAAGAGTTCTCCTTATTACACGTCCCCGTGATCCAGACAAATATTTCAAACGGCAGAACAAAGGACAGAATAATTTCCAAGATTTATCTTTATTTTTAGACCGGAGCAGTCGACACAATCGCGATACAAATAAAACTCGTGTAGCAGCCGCCGGCGTAAAGGGGGAGCACTGACGAACTTCAACATTGATTTTTAAGAATGTCTTAAGAAACTTGTTCTGTTATTTCCTACAGATTATTATTACGCACTTTTTTTTAAACCTGAAATAGGTTTCAATTAATTAAAAGGCGATTCCGGTGCTAATTTGAATCACTTTTATAATCTCGTATTCATTCTTAATTTTTAACCGGCATCAAAAATGAAGGATTTTATTATTCTGTTAACATTTTGTGATATATTTACATTTTTGTTTTTTTCTCTCTAAAAACGTTGTTTTAAGCTCTAGCAAATACCTAATAAACGCTAGGTTTAAATCAGTCACAAGAAAGCATTGAAATGTTTATTAGCGATACTTTATTATTTTTATCTTATATTATATACGAATTATTTAATGTTAGGATAGCTAGCCATCAATGGCTCTGATCTCTTAAGATATCCAGCGGCACGGTGTTCATAATCAGAACGGAGTGCACTTTGATGATCTGTTCATTTGTGTCGGTAAAATAACTTTCTGATTGAACATCAACTATTAGAAAGTTATAAAAAAATCAACAACAACCAATAAAACACGAAATTAAAAGTTGTTTCAAGAATTAAATACACTAATAATTTCTTTTTTCCTGCCGTAAGACTAAGCCGCCCGGCGCGGCGCCGTCTATCCTTGGAACATTGCCCGGTTCGTTTGTAAGCAATTTTCTAACCAGTCACGCCTTTTCTGATCACATAAACATTACTGGTGACGTCATTCGTATTATTTGACTTGATAGGAATACCTCTTTGTTCTTAATTTACATACGCGTTCGCGTAATGAAAACAGAGTGTTCGTAACCTTTTATATTCCATAAATAGGTAAATTTACATAAATATTTCCCAATTATTTTCCGCTATTGTAACACCCGAGTAGCTTGTGCTCGAACGGTTTTATTATTCTAACTTAACATTAGGTAACAATATTTGAAACTCTTTCTAGTCTCACTGCTTCTGTGTTACAAAAAAATATATACTGCTTACTTTTTTTTCATATTTTTTTTGTTTATATAATTAGTTGCATCAGATAATACGAAAAACTCGGAGATACTTTATAACTGGTTCCGGTAAAGGACTTTTTTATTATTATTGCATAGATGGTTGGACGAGCTTACAGCCCACCTGGTTTTAAATGGTTATCGGAGCCCATAGACATCCACAACGTAAACGCCGCCACCCACCCTGAGATATGAGTTCTAAGGTTACATACACATAGGATCTAGATTACAGTTACAATTGAGCCGTAAACTAACCAGCACTTTCGGAAGCGTGTATGTCAGGACAGGCCTGGTAATTGAGGAGCAGCCTCGAGTCTTCTGTGCAGCTCTCTATTGTCGACACGGGATATTTGCAATCGCCGTGTCCCCTGAAAAATTAGGCAAACATCTTGTATCGTTCGGAATGGTTTAGTTAAAATTCGTTTTCGCTATTTGCAGAACCATAAGTTATAATGCGTTTTAGGTGGACGTGCTCACAGCTCATTTGACACCACCACGCCACCACCCAACTTGAGACACGAGGCCAAAGCCTCAATTGAACTGCATAACAGGTATCCGACTAGCAGAACTAGGCAGACCGTGGTGATATTTACCTGTGAGGGCTTGCAATCCGTCACTTTTTTGTGAATGAAGTATTATTACTGGTGGCCCGGAGACCTTTCCAGTTTCACCAGGACAGGTTGGTGAGCAAAAGCTCAGCCAGGAGGGGTGGGATTTGCTAACAGCTACCCGAGCGTCTCCAAAGGAGACTTAACAACTCAAGAGCAGCTGCTTCGCGAATGAATCTACTAACGGATTGGAATCGCGACCTGCTGAGAAGTTCCGGCGAGAAATTCACCGGGCTGATGTTTGGTTAGGTTGCACATCGAACTTTTTGTTGAGTTCGACGAGTACGGTTACTTGGGTCCTTAAGCCTGCTCTTAGTGTTAGAGCTGAAGGCGTCTAATGCAAGGGTTTGATGGATCCGTAAGGACGTGTCTAGGGCATCGACGGTGACTGGCTCCTGCGTGATCAGGATTCGGGGAGTAGGCAGCGGCGCCAACGATGACTACTGCCCGAATTGGTCACCAGTAAATGGAAGTTGTTGATCGCAGCACGTTGGTAAAATGCTCAGATAAAGTTGCTGTAGATTCTACGGTGAATTCTATAGTCGTCTTTTACGATACCCACGGGACCACAGAACGAATGGCACGTGTGATAGATACCGTTTCATCACGAGCGTGATTAATGTCAGTTAACTAAATAAAATTTTGCACAAAACTATGGGATGTGTGTGTGATCAGTAATCACGCGAAAACCATTCGTAGTGCCAAATGACTACTCTTTAATTTTCATTTATAATTTATGATTAACAACAGGAGCGAGGCTCTTTGTAATATGTGCTTCATTTGCACATTCATTATCCTCCGAAACTACGAATACCCGCGACAATGAATCCTCAATAAATTTTAAATATCAACGTCATTCCGCTACTTAATTACACGGCGAGGCTGACGGAAAATTAATGACAGATGCTCTCCACGGATCGCTAATTAAGACATTTGACACGCGTCAACAGACGCCTGCGATGGACAGTTGTACTTCGTAATGCATGTAATGAAAACTGGTAATGAATTTGAAAATGCTCTTGTATTGTTTATGATTAAAGGATTACTGGTGGCCCTTTCCAGTTTCACCAGGACAGGTGGGCGAGCAAAAGCTCAGCCAGGAGGGGTGGGATTTGGTAACAGCGGCCCGAGCGCCTCCGAAGGAGACCTAACAACTCAAGAGCTGCTCTCAACTGCTTCGCGAATGAATCTACTATCGGATCGGAAACGCGACTCGCTGAGAAGATCCGGCGAGAAACTCAGCGGGCTGATGCATGGATTAGAATCTTGTATTGTATAGAGCATTAAAAAAGTTAAGTAGACAGTTATGCTAATCCTTTGGTATTGATTAGCAAACGAGCCCTCGGTGGAGTTTCTAGTCAGTACAGCGTAAAGGTCGCTCTAATAAGACGTCAAGTTGAACAATGCACAATTGCTTCCCGAGAATAAGACGAGACGGTGCCAACTGTTCACTTTTTGTTCTTAATATATAGCAGCACTTTATCTAAATTCAATTCTTTATGTAGGTAATCGTCAAAAGAATCTTGTACTGCTATTGATAAAATAGAACAGATAAATTTTGTTCGTTGTATTATAACATACGCAATGGCTGCACCTACATAATGCTCTGAGTAATTGTTTGAGATGATACCATCATCTCGTTTTTACCATTGCACCGCCCGCCATCGGAGTAGAGTTCATTCATACTACTTGAAGCCACTGCGGTCATCCACAATGGGTTTCCAGAGATATTTTTTTGCCACGTACTATGCGGCTTTGGAATGAGGATACCTCCACGGTGTTTCAAGAGTGCTATGACATGTCCTTCTTCGAACGAGGTTTGTGGAGAGTATTAAACGGTAGGTAGCGGCTTGGCTCTGCCCCTGACATTGCTGAAGTCCATGGGCGACGCTAACCACTCACCATCAGGTGGGCCGCATGTTCGTCTGCCTACAGAGGCAATAAAAGAAAAACCTAGTATTTCAAAATATTAAGAATAGTTTATCTTCGATTTCCGTGAATAAGTACAAGATCGTATTCTGAGCATCGAAAAGATCCTTCGTGCAACTTACCGATTATAGCTGAACGAGAAAGGCGCCTTCAGAGGACAGTCGACTGGATCAGCGTTTTCTCTGAACATGGAATAAAGTAGAGCGTCGCCGGTGATCAGCGAGCAAAGGTGTGGTAACGCGTCTCTTCTATAGCAGAATGCTGCAAAAAATAAATAAAATATTCTAAGGAACAAAGACCTAGGAAGTGGGCATGGCCTGCTGACGTAATACAGCAGCGACTTCAGACTGGTCGGAGTTGAAGAGGGGAGTTGAGGGGACCACTAATATACTGCATCGTTCACGGCCTCTTTCTGATCTCGGCACCAGGGATAGACGGACGTGGTACATTCGCGTGTCAACTTAGTTACCCACATTTTGTGATTAGTATTTAAAATCAAAATTGTTGAAAATTGTATCATTCTAATTATATTTTTTTAATATTTTGGGTCGTGATTTTTAATTATATACTATTTAAATAAACAAGTAGCGTACGAACTTGGGCACTGGAATGAAATTAGTCAACGCCCGTCGATATGAATAATGTATTGTCGCTAACTCGTCACAGGAATGGAAGGGTGGACGGAGAATCAGCCTCCTCGAGCGAAGTCAGCGACCGTCACACTAGCCTGATGTTCCTCTATGTGCCTCGACGGAGGTGAACATAACAATCGGATTAAAGACGTGTATGTGATGGGCGTCCCCCTGCCCGTTGGACCGATGACTTGCGGCGATATGCTGGGAGAGATTGGATGCGGAAGGCGGAGGATCGTTCATTGTGGCGGACTATGGGAGAGGCCTACATCCAGCAGTGGAGAGACACAGGCTGATGATGATGATGATGATGTGATGGACAAGCCAACGACTGCCGGTCTGGCGTCCCGAGGGTGATGGTGATGGGAGAGATGTGCTCCGCACTAAACGTTTTACTTTCTCCCCTTTGCCTTTTAATGAGTTCTGACTCATGCGAGGTTCGGACGCGGGTTGTTGAGCGACAGGAGGTTTTAAAAATGTGGTGGACAAGCTTACAGCCCACTAACTGTCAAACTGTTGCCTATGACATCACATCGTAACCGCGGCGGTCAACGTTTTTACCACAAAACTTACAAAGTATACGACGAATTCAAAATCGTAACCCGTGGTGGTCTCTGGTTACCTATACTACCATATGGAGCATGGAAAGAAATTATTCTGAAGATAGCTGGTAGCGTTCAATGATAAGCTCCTATGTCATTAACAAAATCACGACCGAAAAACGTTTTGTATACCTGTTTCGCTATAGGAAATGGTGCCTTACTTACCTATACCCTGTATTTTCGCTGAACCTATTTAACTTTGGCCAAATAATCCACGTTCCGAAGCCCCGTTAGGACTGAAGATAAATGAGAGCATTAGATCGAAACAAGTACAGGTCACGAACCGTATTCCTCATAGCTAGTTTCCTTCAGGGTTACCAGCTTTAAGATATAAGAAATAACGGGACTTCATAAATTTGTGTTGTTTTAAATTACATTCACAATGTTGAATTATGAATGTGAAATGAATATGCAAGATTATAGAGAATATTTTAAATTGTTCCTACTAAATGCAGAAGTTAGCTGCCGATCTGATACTAAGTGGTAACAGAAGTCTTGAGACTTGGCTTTAGAGATCCAAACGCGGAGGAAAAAAGATGTGTGGTGTCGTGGGACACCGGATAGGAACGAAGTTCCTTATTATAATAATATTAATTTTAAGTTCTATTCGAGGCATAAAGAAAATAAAACTGGAGGTTTCGCAACAACCCACGGTCATGCGGTAACGTGCGAACTTATTGTGGTACACTTCAATGCTTGATAAAAAATATGTTATTTTTTGTACATTATTACAAAGTTAAGTCGTACACTGTGTGCATTACTAATAAAAATCTTACGTTACGGACGTTTTTTCCCGGTTAGGGTACCCCTCCGCATCGTCCCATCAGGAACTTGGTTCCAAAAAACACTTTAATGATGTAAAAACACTCTAGTTTAGTTTTCTCCATTATTTCAACAGAAAGGAAACAATAAAAGCTGTTGTAACAGAACCAGAGTGAAACGAAACAGTATGTTTTATTCTGGGTATAACTTAATCTCAGCGAAGTTCGATCCGAGTCGTAAACAACGTGTAATGTCTTAGTTTTTCGAGTAATACTTCTCGCAGGGTCTGTCCGTGCGACGTAAAGCCGCAGTAAATATCTTATGTAATTCACTTGAGCACAGGCAGGCTTCGCTCTCTTTGGACATTGCCTTTATGAGGTCTAGGTCGGGGTAGTGTTGTGGTTAACATTTTTACATTTACGAATCAAACTCGTTTTGCAATCGTTTCGATAAAATCGTTTTCAATATCGAGTTTCTCTTCCACATCTTTTCAAAGAACTAAAGTTATCTAATCATAATATATATTTTCTACTAGCTGACACGGCAGACTTCGTAGTGCCTCAATCGATAAATGAAAGACCTAAACTTTTGTATAAAATAAACTTAAAACAAACAAAAGGAATTTGTCCGATGAGGGACACATCAAAGGGAAAACAAAATTGTTATTTTTATTTAATTCCGAGCATTTTTATATTTATCTACCTTTTAAACCTTCTCTGGACTTCCACAAGTAGGTAATTCAAGACCAACATTAGCCAAATCGGTCCAGGCGTCCTCGAGTTTTAGCGAGACTAACGAACAGCAATTCATTTTTATATATATAGTTTTGAAGGTTTAGCTTTTATTGTCAATGATTTTTGGGAAAAAATTCAAGCTTGCATCAAATTTTTACGAGATTGGTAGAAGCTGGCATTGATCCATAACAATTTTATGCATTCAGTATTACTGTTCTACAATTCGTATGTAGTATCACGAATATCACGACCGCATTGCAGTATTCTTAACATTGTTATACTGCTGATTAAAATTTCATGGTTTGTTCTAAATTTAAATCGTCCACACTCAACTCCTCCAACTACAATTGTGTCAACCTTGTAATGCAAGAAAAACACATTCAGAATCGATTTTATGGTTTTTTGTTTTATGTATTTTTGTATGTGTGAAATATTTTATTCTATTTCAGATTTAAGTTATTTTGAAATCTTCGTTTTGAAGTTTATTTAAGTGATACAATCGCCGACAACTTATAAACAACTGACGATCATTTCCTCAATTCATTGTCGAACATTATCGAATATTTATTACAACAAAGAATTTTATGATTGATCAATGAGTCATTAAAATTCAAGAATGATATATACTCAACGAACTGTTCACAAAAACTTTAAATAAATGAGTGATTTAAACACAGAGTCATGATTCGGTTCATTATTCACGTCCCTATCTATTCCCGTGCGAGTCAATAGTTCGACTTGTCGAGTTACAAAACTTGAGAAGATAGGTACTTACTCTCTTTATATTGTAGCACGTTTTTGTGTTTCTCGTGCATCACCACGCATCGGTAGCAGCCTTTTCTGAAAAAGAAAACCATCCGTTGTAACCGAATATTACGTTATGATAACGTTTTCATTGGTGGTACGGCGCCTATGCGTCTGTAGGGGTAGCATCTTTCTTTTTTTTTCGGTCCGGGTTCCGAACCTCCTGCGAGGTCCCCGCGCGCCTAGGTATGTTGGACTCAACGATCTGCAAGGTGTTGGAAGCAGACCGCGGGCCCAAGGAATTTTGCCTGACGGGTCAAGGTAGGGGTAGCTACCACAACCGGAACATTTCTGCCGTGAAGCAGTAATGCGGTTAGAAAATTAATGTCTCAAGATGGGTGGCGGCATTTACGTTGTTGATGTCTATGGGCTCCGGTAATCACTTAACGACAGATTCGACTTCGCGGATTTATTATTATTATTATTAATATATATGAATGTATACATTCTGACAATGCAATTTTTTTAAGAAAAGAATTATTGCTGGTGGTCCGATGTCTTTTCTAGATTCACGGGTGGGGTTTACTAACAGATGCCCGAACTTTTCCAAGGAAGACCTACCCTTGAGCTGATGCTACAGGGAATACATATACTACCCGATTGGAATCACAACCCACTGATAAGATCCGGCGAGAAATTCAGTGGGCCGGTGTCTTGGGTTAGGTTACACGTCGAAGGCTTCGACGAGTTCTATGAGTTTGGTTACCAAAGTCCCTATGCCTGCTCCTAGTCTTAGAGCTACGGGTGTGTAATGACAGTGTTAGTGGATTCGTACACACGTCTTGTAAGGTGCCGACAGTGACTGGTTCCTGAGTGAGTCAGTACCGGGTAGACTGACATTGTCTTCAGCAAAATTGTAATTTCTTAAGACGATTGAGACTGCGAATCTCTTTTTCCAAGGTGAGTGGCGGCATTCACATTGACCGTCTTTTGCGGACCGATTGCAATGAAACGAGTCGTACAAACTATTATGATAAAGGTCCTTTGAGCGGAATTGAATTCCGAACTTTAGCTTCCGGGACCAATTAAGCCTCTTACCATAAACTATTCGAATTGAACTCCAATAACAGAACTGGTATCATGAAATTTTAATTGGATCTAAGAAACTTACTCGTCAACAATAAGAAACTTGTCTCCTTCTGAAGACAGGCACTTTCCTTTATTCGATAGTCTCTCTCCTTCTATAGTGATGGACTGGATCACGCCCGATTGAAACCAGCGACCGTGCCACCTCGTCGGGAACGAACAACCTGTTAACAAGAAAACGAAATAGTCAACCACACATTTGTAACAAAAGTTGGTAACAATTTGACTTAAATCGCTGGTGGTAGGACCTCTTATGAGTCCGCACGGGTAGGTACCACCACCCCGCCTATTTCTGCCGTGAAGCAGTAATGCGTTTCGGCTTGAAGGGTGGGGCAACCGTTGTAACAATACTGAGACCTTAGAACTTATATCTCAAGGCGGGTGGCGCATTTACGTTGGAGATGTCTATGGGCTCCAGTAATCACTTAACACCAGGTGGGCTGTGAGCTAGTCCAACCATCTAAGCAATAAATAAAAAATCATTCTATGATGACTAGCTTTTGCACGCGACTCCGTCCGCGTGGAATAGTTACTTTGGAATAACGCTAAATTTTACCCCCACTTCATTTACGTAGAAAGTGAAAATATTTTGAAACATTCTTTATTCGTGCTCCACGTGTATGGATCTCATGATGTTATATAGCCTATAGCCTGCCTCAATAAATGGACTATCTAACATTGAAAGAATTTTTAAAATCGGACCAGTAGATCCTGAAATTAGCGCGTTCAAACAAACAAACTCTTCAGCTTTATAACATTAAGTATAGATTCTCACAATATTGGTGGGGGAACGAATTTTTTGCAGTTCTAATGCTGATGCGGAATTGATTTATTTATTTTCCTACTAGACTTTTGTGAGCATACGACAAAGGGAAGATCTTTCGCCGAGCGGGCGAAATGGCTCGGTAGACCGACGGTCCTAATTTTATTGTTCGAAACTTGAATATATGCCAATTTATCTCGAAAATATCGTTGGCGAGATTCAGGCATCTGTCAAATATCTTATATTACCTATGATAGCTACCCGTTGTAGACGTGCTCCGCGGTTTACGCTCTTTTTATAGTTATTTGTTAGCAGTGTGTTTGAGAAAGAAAAGTCTTTGAGATATATACTTTAACCATAAATATGGCATTCGCTTGTGACGACAAGGTGCGTAACACGTTCTTTTTTTACAGAAATTACATATCTTTACTTTAGATACACATACTCAACTGGTGGTAGGACCTCTTGTGAGTCCGCACGGGTGGGTACCACCATCCTGCCTATTTCTGCCGTGAAGCAATAATGCGTTTCGGTTCGAAGGGCGGGGCAACTATACTCAGATCTTAGAACTTATATCTCAAAGTGGGTGGCGCATTTACGTTGTAAATGTCTATGGGCTCCAGTATCCACTTAACACCAGGTGGGCTGTGAGCTCGTCCACCCATCTAAGCAATAAAAAAGAAAAGCTGCTTTTATATTACGCTATACTATAGTGGTATATAGTATAGCAGTCTATATTTAGCTAATAATATATAGTACAGTATAGTGTGAAGTATAGTTCGAAGGGCGGGGCAGTCGTTGTAATTATACTGAGTCCTTAGAACTTATATCTCAAGGTGGGCGCACTTACGTTGTAGATGTCTATGGGCTCCAGTATCTTACTTAACACCAGGTGGGGCTGTGAGCTCGTCCACCCATCTAAGTAATAAATAAAAAATAAAAAAACTCACATCTCACTTGGTATTAAGTGGGTTTCGGAAGCTACAGTTATCACAACGTGAATACCGCTGTACATCTTTAGATGATGATGAAGTGTCAATCGTATGAGCTTAAGCTGGAAATGAACGCACCACCAGTGAATAGCATCTAATAACGCACGCAATAATATGCACTTAACAGTCTGTCATGGTTATTGTCAATGAGATCGGCAATCATTCTCCAATTGGAACAGAAAATAAATCGGTGAGCAAATATTTTCATTTTACACATACCGCGGTAGGGAAAAAGTATTGTATTTAATTGGATTTTTTCTTGGAGTTTCATAATTCCATAATGAATTCTTGTAATTTAATTTCTGATGATCCCACACGAATGAAATGAATGATAAATGATTATTTTAAAAATTCATTGTAATAACACTTAAAGTACTTCAGAACGTCTTGTAATAGCAGTAATGAGTTTTCCAACGATGTCAATACAGAATATGTAGTTAGAGTTTTGTTTGGGACCCATTGAAGAATTTGGGGGTCATAGAGTTTAAGACATTTCTTACGGTTTTTTTCATCAGACCGGTAAGTATATTCTATTAATGGCGATGAGCAATATTTAAAGCAAGAATTGCGGCATTTACATTGTTTTAATTTTTATGGGCTTCGGAAACCAGGTGCTTCATGAGCTCATCCATTGTCCGGTCAATGAAAAATTGCGTGACGCAACTTTTAAGTTGGGTTGAATAGATTAAAAAAAAGTTGTTTACTAATGATCATGTTTAGCATTTTTTTCCTACCTATGCTGATAGCCCTGAGAGGCTATATAAGCTTCTCCTTGACGTGTAGGTGAGCTCACGGGACTCAAACCGGGTGTGTTGCTAACACTGGCCCTAGCAAGGGCAGTGCTTCGCAGAATCTACCACCGGATCAGAAACGCGACCCATTGAGAAGATCTGGCGAGAAACTCAGTGGGCTGTGTCTGTGGGTTAATTCGCTCGTCGAGCCGTTTGCGCTGATTCTCGGTACTTATATGAAAAATAACGATATTTTGATAGACTGCCATGTCTAGTGCGCTATGTGGAGCGCTGAATTAATTATGTCGATTTCTCTCTTCGATCTTCTTACTAAGGCGCCGAAATATCTAGTAGACTCTGGGCAAGACGAATTCCAAGATACTGAGAATTAATCTATTTTTAAGAGACATAAAAGGCTAAAACATACGTTAACAAACAAAAGAGGGTAATGTTAGGCAGTCCAGGCGCTTAGTAACAGAAATCGACATCATTACTGCACCACCATTCCTTTGCTGATGGTGTTATAACAAAAACCTTCCATGGTGTGACAGCCCCAACTGTATCATGCTCAATCACAAACGGGTGAATGAGTAAGGAATGCATACAGGACGAACATAGAAACATTAATTTTTATTTAGATAAATATATGCAGCATTAAAAACAAAAGTTATTAATAAAATATAAATCATTAAAACAAATCGTTTTCTTTTTCGCTAAATCTATATATTAATACGTGAAGCAAAAACTTTGTATCCCTTTTTACGAAAATTGCGCGGACGGAGGAGTATGAAATTTTCCACACTTATAGAGAATATAGAGAAGCAGTGCACAATGCTATTTTTTTTTTAAATAATGCATAAAAGATACATTAAATCAATAAAGAAAACATTACACACACTACATACCATGTATTTGACGCACACACGCATGCATATTATTTATTGTCAAACTTTTGTTCTTGACGTCTGTTGTCAAATTGAGAATAGATTAAATATTGTATGTCTGTTAATATTTTTTGTAATGTAGTCTTGGCGAAATTTGTGATTATAGAAGTATAAAATACAATCATAATAGTGTACAAACTTACAATTCCAATTAATTATAGTCGAATTTCGACTACTGCCGGACCACTAGTTCAAGTTAAATCGATGAATGCACAGCATTATCGCTACATGCATTAGATAAATTTAAACCAACATTTTTTTTTTAAATAGATCCCCATTGTGTTTTCCTCGATTCGGACCTGTTTCTCGTCAGGGTTAGATCGTTTCGTATGATATGACTTTCTCGTACAATACCAGCGACAATGTAGCGTTTGCTTTAAACTGAACGGGTGACCCGATAATTAATCTGGAATGAATGTCGTTTGGATGTGGGTTGTGACTCAGGTAATTTATATAAAGGTCTTTGGGAAACTTAAGTATCGACGCTGGTTAAATAGTCGAAAATGTACAGTATTTTAATGTGGAAGCTATTGAGTTTTAAGTTATCAAGTGTGTTTTGTGCTTGATTGACATCCAGAATAGGGTACAGTCGAGTTTTTGACTAGAATTTCATGTTTCATCTTCGTAGCAATCAATCGCTACGTAATAAGATATATCGGAAGCTAGTTCAAGAAGCAGTTTAATCCAGTTGAAACAGCAAAACGATTGCCTTGTTTGATTAGTAATCCAGAATACTGTACTATCAAATTGTAAACTTGTATTTTCGTTGTTTTTCCTGGATTCATAATAGTAAATCTCAGCATGAGATCAGTGAGTGAGTGTCCTTTTTGAATTTCAACCTTTAGACATCTACAACGCAAATGCGCCACCCACCTTGAGATATAAGTTCTAAGGTCTCAATATACTTACAACGGCTGCCCCACCCTTCAAACCGAAACGCATTACTGCTTCATGGTAGAAATAGGCGGGGTGGTAGTACCTACCCGTGCGGACTAACAAGAGGTCCTACTACCAGTAAATATTGTAGTCATTCAAATAGAAAGTTGTGTCACTTTATCGACCACAAACTAATGCAGATCGATTGTGTATGACATCGATCGAGCGATGGCCGTCACCCACTGTAATGTAATCGAAGCATTATATCGTCGTTATCGTCTGTAATAGCACCACAATGGTTCACTCAACAAGCGCTTTGTCGGACACCGGATTATGGTTATTGTATGAATACAGTGCATGTGAATATATGGGATTGTCATATCTTTTGTCGTTATTTGTGGCATTTGAAATTAACTTGGTTGATGGTCATTGTTTGGGTGGATGACTGGATGGATGATTTATTTGGATGGTTATTGATAGCATAATGATTAATACTGGTGATTTTAAATTCCTCGTTACCCCACCCTCACCCAATCCCATACCCACCTTATCAATCGTTCATTTATTCTTGCTCTGTTTGGTTGGACAAGCTCACGGCTTTGCCTGGTACTAAGTGGTTGTTAAAGCACATGGACATAACAATTTAAATTCCCATCTTGAGGCCTAAGTCTCATTTTCAATGTATAGCAGCAGTCACACCTTTTAGTTCACGATCGTGGGCTTAATGCTCAGTGTGCTTAGTGAGATTTGTTTAACATTCTCGATAACGTAAAAGTTAACTCTAATCTGTATGCAGTTGGAACAGCGCCCCTAGCGGCAAACGGAGGCAAACATTTTTACGCAAACTTTTACGCTATC